GCTTTATTTTTGTCTGTAGAAGAAAAAAAAACACTACAACGGTGTGTTTATACCGTAGGATGTGTGAGTGAAAGGAGGGAAGGGGGAAGAGTGGGGTGGCCGACGAGGCGAGTTGCTTATTCGAACCGGTTTTAAATCTCGTTTTCCCATCGAATTGGTGTAAAGACATCGTCGTCGCGGCGAGAGAAGGGCAACGGGGGAATGCAATGGAATGGAATGCGTCGTGCGCTCCCGGATTCCAACGAAGAAAAATGAAGTGGCAAACAACAACTGGATTGATTGAGGGCAAATTCACGTTTCTTATCGTCTGCACCATGGTTTTGTACGGAAAATGATTGTAGTAAATAAAAGTTGAAATATTGAAAGGCCCGAAGGAACTCGGAAAAAGTAAATAGGCCCAGAACTGCTAAGGCCTAGGAGCGCAGAGAATGCTTCATCTATTATACCTCGCCATTGAACCATCCCTGGTTGTCGGTTTTAGGACACAGCTGCGTTCTATTTGAGCGAAATTGTTTGCTCGCTGGAGCATCTCCATCGGCAGGGAATCATTTATCGTGATTTGAAGCCGGAGAACATCTTGCTGGACAGCCGAGGTTTGCTGCATTAGTCATTAATTTGTAACTGCTGATATCATTATCATATAATTTTATTTAAAAAAATTTTAAAGAAATTCAAAAAAATTCAAAAGAAAATTTATTAAAAAGATTTAAAAATTGATCAGAGCAGTTGCATTTCATATATTAAAATCTATTAAAAATAATCGAAGCAGTTGCACTGTTGTAGAATCGCACTACGAATTAACAGCTGAGAACGAACCGAAATTTAACAGCAACAGAATATGCATTTTTAAAGTATTCTTGACGTTCTGGAGTGCTGTCTTCTGAACAAAGAAGATTACCCATAATTAGGACATGAAAATTAACTTGACATTTGTAACGCCGAGATTGTTGATATGTAGGAATTTCTGTTTTGCAAAAAAAGGAATTTTCAGGACATGTGAAACTGACAGATTTCGGCCTGTGCAAAGAGTCAATTGAAGGCGACCAGAAGACACACACATTTTGTGGTACCATCGAATACATGGCACCGGAGATATTGATGAGGGTTGGGCACAATAAAGCCGTTGACTGGTGGAGTCTTGGCGCTCTAACATTTGACATGCTCACTGGCGGGCCGCCGTTCACTGGCGAAAATAGGTCTTAGTTATTTTCTAGATGCTGAAAAATTTTTGTTGTTCAAGAACAGTCGATACTTTTCTCACTTACAATATTAGAAACCTTTATAATATTCTTTTACGTCTGAATTAAAATTAAGGATTTAGGTGACAGATCATTTATCATAACAGAGCAACCGCGGTCTTTTATGTTACGTTAAAGACAGTAATACTGCCGAAAGCAAATATTCGAAGAGTCTCTAAACGGCATCACTTTACGTTCTCCTTGGATTCAGGCGTTTAAGTTGCTCTTTGTTTTTCAGAAAGAAGACGATCGACAAAATTCTGAAGGGCCGCCTTACGCTACCATCATTTTTAAGCGTAGAAGCACGTGATTTGATAAAAAAGCTTCTGAAGAGGCATGTTGAAACAAGACTTGGTGCTGGACCGGAAGATGCCAATGAAATCAAGCAGCACGCATTCTTCCGCTCATTCAATTGGAATATGGTCTTTGCGCGACAGGTAATCGCTTATTATTGCCATTACAATTATATGCATATTATGAAAGCTACTTGCTTAGACAGCTGAACCAGCTCCAATTTATAATCTACATCTTTAAATATGCAGTTGACAACTTTTTCAGTTACATGACCACCGCAACCTTACCCTGTAGTCTGCTGGCGATTCTGATATTTCTCTTCTAAAGGGATCACCAACTCAGTGGTTCTCTCAATAGAAACACTTGGCAAGGCTTTAGTTGTTTCAAGATGCCCGTGGTATGCACTGAGCATCACAACTCAAGCGTTGCATCTGCTTGAATCTTCCATTTCTCATTTTTTTCCCCCGTCTTTCCTTCCCCCCTAGTATTTTATCCACCTTTTGATGTTAGCATCGTCTCTGCTCTCCTTTCTCGCTGCTTCTTTACTCCTTCCTTATTTTTGCTTCACGTTTAAGCAGTGCAGCCGTCATACTGACGAGCTCCTGTTGAGTTAAGACGTATATGACTTAATAGACCGAAACGCGTTATCATATTTTTGCCTCCTGAACTTATGTTGCATTGCTGACTTCTTTTTTTTTACCAGTTAAGAATTCGGGGCTATCCTGGTTGTCGTATTTTAGTTATCGACTAAGAAAGAGCGTTTTATCTTACTAGTTTTATTTATACCAAACGCAGCATGGATGTTCTTATCACTACTGTGTTTGTGGCACTGTCTTATCTATGTTGTTATTTTTATAGTCGTACGTTCTCTACGGCATTTTCTTATCAGTTTCATTACTATAATTATCCGGGCAATTAACTGTGTTTACTTAATATCCTCATTATCATAATCCTAAAAATGCTGCGATATTTCCTTTTCGTCGTTGTCACTTTAAGCGTACGCATCATTATTTTACAAACATTTTTTGAGATTTTAATTTCAGCTACCTGCAGCTAAATAGATTTGAGATGTTTTTTTATTTTGACACTTTTGCAGTCTGTTTATTTTTAATAGATTTCCTATTATCCATTTGTGGCTGGATGATAAGATCTTATCGTTGGAGAAAAGGTCACTCCCGTTACTCCCTTATCTATGATTCATCTGTTCCCACTGCACTGGACATCGGTCATTTGCCCATCGGTGATATATCTCATCTTTTGTCAGTCACCTGCCATTTTTTGTGGTGATTGGTGGGGAATATTTCGAGCCTCCGTTCCATGCGTAACTGAAATGATAAGAAAAGGAATAGCACACATAGAAGGGAATTGCCAATAAAAGATACGAAAATATGATGCAGAAGATTGATATCGAACTAAAAGAGCGTGAAATTTACCGAAAAGGATGTCGTATTTTAACAAAACAGTGCAAAAAATCATTGCAGAAGCGCAAAATTATGTGATAGTGTGGGGAATTTAGGTTCTGAAATGTTAAATTTGGCCCTAAAAAGACGAAACTTGCCATATTTAAGCAAATTAGCACTAGGAGGGAAGTGTATTATTTAGAGTGTATTAGCGTATTGTGGCTTGAAATGTGACGTATTTTTAAAGGGCTCATTAAACCTGTCGTCTCAGCCACTGACCAAAGTCCATCACTTTGTCCACTTAAGCAAGTTCATTAGCTTTTTCGTTTTTCAGCTGGATCCTCCGTTCAAGCCGAACATCACATCGGAAGACGATGTTTCGCTTTTTGATAGTAAATTCACGAAAATGACCCCAGTTGACTCGCCTTGTGATCAGTTCATTTCGGCATCGGTGAATCCATTCGAAGGTTTTACATACGTTGCGCCGAGTGTTTTTGAAGAAGCCAAGTCAAAGAGGCAACTATCACCACGTAAAAATCAGTGGTAAGTTTATTTGTGTTTAGTTGGAACGAGATTTTTCAGCGGAAATTTGAGTGAACTTTTTCGTAATACATGTACGAATTTATAAATTCATGAATGCCATGTCAGTCGTGACTACTCATGACTTTATGTTTTGGCATTATTATTACTATTACTTATCATGATTTTTACTTACTATTTTTCCTGCAGTTATGATTATTATGTGTTATTTTATTATTGATTTATATGCTCTTGTTTACAGTTGCAATAAAACTTTTTTTTATCCTTATTTTCGAAAAATGGATGCTGTAGACCGAGACCCAGTTAATTTCGATGGGGAAGCAGAGCAAGTTTATAGTAAGGCCGTAATTTTGACATAGTGACATCCAAATGTTGCAGTGTGTGCTGCATACTGTAGCCAGGTTTTTTATGGTAATTTTAAGGACGAGTGAGGAGTTAGAGGGGGGAACTGAGAAAAAAAAAGTAAAATTGGCTACGAAAATCTTTCCAGTTTTTTCCCTTGCAGAATAATTTTTGTTGTGAAAGTTTGTTTTTGAAGCTCACCGATAGCATTCGCAGACGAGGAGCATGCGAGTGATGTAACGGATAGGCGCGAAGATGCAATGGATATCACCATTTCGTCGAGGTTATTGTGCACCTAAATTGTTTTAATATTTTAATAAAAAGTAACATTTCTTCACCCCTCTCTGAGTATTGTTTCTTTTTCTTCTATCTGGCCATGAAAATTTTTTTTTCGAAATTCTTATCGTCGTGAAGTTGTGGTGTTACTATTGTACAGCAGCTACTGGTACAGAGCTGCGTCAAGACTTCTGCCCTGAACTGCTTATCTCTAATTCGCTGTTTATACGCCTGTTATCCACATGACAATTCTGCTTCTGATAGGTACCATTCACTGGTATAAGTAACATACACCGGTTGTCACCAGAGCGAGTAACACGTTAGATTTTATTTTCTGCATTGTGCATTCAGTTGGTCTGATGCACAGTTGGGCAACCGGCAACCCACAAACCGGATCCGGCCCACGAAGGCAGTCGGAATGTAGTGCCTAACTAGACAAAGTAGGATTTACCACTGTACTGTCATGAAAATAAATAAATAAATAGCGGCACGCACCAACGCAGCCTCTTTTCCCCACGTACAAAAAAAGACCAAAATACAGGCATATGAGTTGCACTTGTTAAATTGTAAAGCAACA